ATGCGTACCATTTTTAGAAATTTTACGACTTTTTATTTGAGTAATATTTGTAAACACTTGATCGTATATTATATTTTTTTCGGTTTCTATTTCGTGTTGATCTTTTCTAGTAATAACTTTGCAGTCTTTTCTATGTTGTAAAGTATTTATTATGATAGGCATTTTTGTTTTTGTAAATTGAACGTTCGATGTGTTTACAGTTTTTTCAACATGAGACTCAATTTGTGTTGTCGAAAACAAATTATTAGGACAATTGTAATTTGGTAATATATTTGAAGGATTATTTAAATTTTGAATTGACAAACAATGTTGTTGGTTAAACTCTCTGTGACAATTTGAATTATCACTTATATAGTTTGGAGAAATATAGTACGGATAATAGTGATTGGTAAACAATTGTGTATTGTTAAAATAACCATTTTGTATTAAGTTTGTTGGGTTATAATAATTGTATTGTGGTTGGTGAATAAAATCGTTTTGTGTGGTAATTTCTTTATCCCCAACTTGACTTAAATTATAATACATACCGCTAGTTGTGTTGTTGGCGTGTATAATTGGTAACATAATGACAGTGTAATTTAATAAGATTATAAATATCATTAATAAACAAAAAAACTCAAACTCATACTATATAAAATTATATTTATTTAATAAAAATTTATTTGGTTAAAAGTATGAAAACATGTGATTAATTAATGTCAATATTAAAAAGCCACGAAATATAATTAAATTACATTGAATAATAAAATATAATAATTTGTTAAGTTTTTTTTTTGAAAAATGGTAATAATGAATTAAAATTATGTGTTTAATTTATTGTTGTATTTATTTAAGGTTATAAATCGTTGTTTTTGTCAAAATATAAATAACAAATTGTTTTGATAAATTAATAATGTTTTCCCGTTTAATTAAAGGATTTTTACATATTATTGAAAAACATTAGAATATTCACTCTAAAATATTCACTCTAAAATATTTGATCCAAATTATTTGGCCCTTACACCATTCGAAAAGAAAATGAATACGTCCAATGTAGAGGCGAAAGCTTTTTGTTTGATAGAGTATTTGGATATAGAACGAAAAAACCAAGAAATTTTCGACTTGAACGAATGGTCGTTTTTCAATTGGAATAAGTTTTATTTCTTTTAATTCTGTTTAATGTTGTCTTAAACACAAGTTTATCATTTGTTTTTGTTTTTCACATCTTTTGTAAATGTTAAAAATGAAATGATATTTGAAATAATTAACAAAATGTCAATTAAGTTCAAAATAATGAAACCAAAAAAAATTGTTTCCACATGAATAAAATTTGTTATTAAAAAATTCCAAATGATTGTTACAATATGTTACAATTAAAATTATAAAATCCAATTTAAATAATAAAAAACAAAAAAAATAATTATTATGGTAATGAATTCATTAAATTAAATAATGTTTATAATTTATCAATTAATTGATTGGATACACACTATTTTGTAATTTCAAAGAATTTAATTCTTTTTATTTTAGGTTATCAATTGAACATTTTGAAACATCAACAAGATCAATTTTATCAAATACGTTTGTGTTAATGTTTAAATTTTTATTAAAATATACTTTTATTATAATGTTTAAAATACAGTAAAACCTGGATATTTTCTAATTTTTAGGGAGAAAAAACCTGGACATTTTATAAAACAATTTTTATACAAACAAAAATGTTATTATGTTTTGTAAATTATTGTAAGTTGTGGCATATTTGTCTGTGTGGTAAATCAATTATTCAAATTCTTCATTTAACAACTCCAGTACTCTTTTGGCGTAAAACATATCCATTTCATCTGTAAGATCCAACGAACCAAGCTTTTCGATTAAAGCTTTTAGTTCATCAGATATTTTGTTAATTTCAACTTCGTTGTGAGAAACATCTTCTTCTAATGCATCAACAACCGCATATTTTTCTTCTTCTGGTTCTATAACTTCTTCTATGGTAGTCGATTCTTGTATCAAGTTCATTCTTTTTAATTTAGATATATCTTTGTTCAAATCAGTTTCAATGGTTTCTTCATCGGTTGTGTTGTTTAATGGAACATCATTTGGAACCGAACTTGCAACAAAATATGGTGATTTGTCATTCTTACTGATTTTTATTTCTGTGATAACAAATATAAATTTTGTCGTTTGTTTTTTTGTTTTTTCTTTTTATTATTTTTTGGTTAAAAAATTTATCAAACAAATTTTATATTTTCTGAAACTAATAACAAAACCATTTTTACTATTATAAACAATCCAGTTTATAAAATATCCAACATTATAAAATATCCAGGTTTTACTGTATTTGAATAAATAAGTCATAGGTGACAAAATCTGCTTTTTATTTTTCAATAAATGAAAATTTTTTATTTTATTAATGAAACATTCCAATATTGTTTAAAGTATTTTAATTATATCTAATGTAACAAAGTTTCTTAAATTAATATAATGTTTTATATGTTCTAAACTAAAATAATATAAACTTTAAAAAAATAACTTAACAATAATATTATGCATCTTTGCTAATTTCTTCAAGTTGTTTTCTCATTCTTTGGTCTCTATTATTGATGAGTTCTTCTATTTTATCTTGACTGAATTCACCGTCCAAATCTTGATGGTTAGTTATGTCGTCGTTGAGTAAAATAACAATTTTGCCAACTTGGTCGAATGTTGGTCTATTTTTTGGTTCTTGTTCCCAACATTTTTTGACCAATTCCTGGTATTTCGGAGGCATACCATTCTCCAGTTTTAATCTTTTTCCAGACTCAACATGGTTTTTAATTTCAAAGACAGACCGAAGCTCGTTGTAAGGCTCGTCCTGGTAAAAGATTTCCCATGCAGTAATACCATACGAGTAAACATCACCTGCAAATGTGTACTCATCGTGGAATGTTTCAGGAGCAGCATAAATCGGGGTTCCAAGTCCTTTATCTTGTCCTTTACCGATCGTCCTTTTGGTGAATCTTGACGTACCAAAATCTGTAATTTTGATTGAACATGCACTGTTTGGATCCAATGAGTTAACAAGCAAATTGTCTGGCTTTAAATCAAGATGCATAATACGGTTCTCGTGCAAGAACTGCATTCCACGCGTTGTATCAAACAGCATCCTCACTTTCAATTTGTATGGAAGTTTGATGTAGTCTCTCTTGTCCTTACGCAAATACTCTCCAAGTGAACCCAAAACAAAGAACTGAATGACCATTGAGACTTGTGGAATGTATGTCACCGAACCCATATAACTCGCGATAAACGGATTTCGAAGTTTGCTCATAATTTCACATTCAGCAGTGACTTCTTTCTTTAGTTCCTTCATATCTTCATCACTTAGATTTTCCCACCTAAATTGCTTGACTGCGACTGGAACACTTCTATAGCTGCCAATATACACTTTACCCATTGCTCCTTCAGCTATGGGGAACTCTGACATATTCAATTCGTCCAAATCAATGTGTGTTGAACTCTCTGCATCTGTTTTAATAGTCATTTGATTGTGGATTTGTTTTCTGATGTTCTTTTTCAGGTTTTCCATTTTCTTTTCGTCGGAGTTTGTCCACTTTTCAAAAGTCTTGTCTTTGAGAAGATTTGATATTTCAATCAAGGTTCTCTTTGATTTACTGAACCACACCGTGTATGGGATCTTCAAATCACGGACTTTTGTTGAACAGAAAATGGTCACGTAAGAAGTCACTGTTTTTGTTGTTCGGGCAGAAAGAATCACAACTTGTGGCTCAAAGTGGAAAATGTATTTGGGGGAATTTGGAGTGTGGAATACGAGTAACATGCTAGTTATAAGTTTTCGCTTTGAACCAAACATTATATAATAAAACAAACTATTTGTTTCTGCTTAAGTTTTTCACTTCAATTTTTTCGAACCGAGTGTCCAAAATTTTTGTGGCTTGACTACCATTACCAAAGTCAAGATTTACAGGGTCCATTATATATTTCGCCATTTTACAAGGAGGTATTCTTGTAGATCCAGAAATGTAGAAATGATACATCGGTTGCTGTGTTTTGTATATATTGATATCAACCTTTTTGTAACGAAGGCTGAAGAACAAGAGAACGCCGAATATAATAACAAATACAAAAAATGCAAAAACAGAAGAAACAACAATTGAAGCTATTGCTCCACTTGATATAGTTACTTCAATACATGAAGTTCTATCATTTGGGTTGGTAATATAACCTTCATAACATCTACAATATTGGTTACAGTTTGTTCCGTTATCGCATTCTTCTGTCCTAATAAACTTATCATCGGAATCATACAAGTCATCAATCACTCCATTTCCACATACCTTTGCCTTACACAATCTCTCACTTGTTGGCTCAAAACCCCCTTTCACTAAGCATTGACAATTTTCTAAACACGCCTCTGTCCCAGCAATACACTCGTCAGTCGGGGCAGTTCCTCCGCTCAAACATTCATTTGTTATACAAAAGTGGTTTACAAGTGATCTCCCTTCCGTACAATGACAATATTGGTCACATCCAGGTGCTCCAAAATAACACAAATCAGTGTTATCTGTTTGCCATTTTTTGTTGTAAAAACATAATTTATGACAGTCGTCTCCTCCATACCCTGGGTTACATATACATGTTTTTCCACCGACAAAACATCTTCCTCTTGCTCCATTCGGGTCGTTTTCACCACAGTGGTCTGGACATATCACAGAAAATCGCAATTCAATAGAAATGCTTTGGTCTGTCGCGATCATAGCATATTCCCTTTTTTCTGGACTTCCATCAGTTTTAATGATAACTCCGCCATTTTGGCTCTCCGCTAATGCGCCATAACGCTGTCCTATCCAGAAATTAATACATTGATTTGTTTGTGAACCATCTTGGTTTTCATTTATTTTATGTTGTTGAAGCATATTGATTCTGTTTGATTTTGTCCCATCAATCAGCAAAGAGTAGTTCCCATTGTATTCTAATGTAAACAAAACACATTTGTACATTCTTTCAGGGAAACATATTGGTTTTGCAAAATATCCTTCTGCTTCAAATGGAAACCATAATTCAAAAACAGAGCCCAAATTCTCATGAAGTCGGTCTACAATTGTCTGGTTGATGTTAAAAAAAGGTTTGGCGTCTTTTCCAACTCCAGCATTCACCGTAATATTCAAATCCACATCACATAATTCTGAAATAGAGACAAACATATAATAGAAAAACTTTTTGTCTTTTTCAACATTTGGTGGAGGCATAAAAGGAATTCTAATTGCTCTTCCGTTGTAAGTAGAATTCAATGAAATATATGCCAAGCAATTTGCTTTTGGAGAACTTCTTTGGAAATTTGTAACATCAATGATTAAATTTTGATTACAAGTTGTTTTTTTGAACACTGAAAGTATGAGCTGTTCAACAATTGATTCGTTCATTTCAAACTTGAACCACTTCCCAATACGGTACTTCTGTTTATTGTAACAGAAAGAATAATCTACATCACTACTTTCATTTAAAGTAAAATCAACTGTCTCATTTAAAAACAATTCAACGATATCATCTTCTTCGGGTAACCAAGACGTTTTATTAATTCTATTTGTGGACCTGAAACATGTGAAGTTACTGTTGATAAAAACAGGCTTTGATATGTTTACAGTGTCTATCATCGAACAGTGCAAGCATGAGTTATCTTGGTCATAATTCTCAGAACAATTATTTTTACAAGAAAAGTCTGCTACACAGTCTGAACAACCTTCTGAGCACTGAAAAGCAATGGATTGTGATAACATTAGACTGAGTATTAACCAATTGTGAAACGACATTCAATAAGTTTAATAGATATTTTCTTTCTTTAATAATACCAAAAAGTTGAGTTTGTGAACAAACCACTATCGTCTTCTGATACACCGTGCCTAATAATATGAATAACCAAATAAATAAAAATACAATTAAAATTTAAGAAACCTTTTGTTCTAAATATATATTTTTAGTACAACTTGTTTAAACTTTCTCCAATTTTAGTGAAAATACAAAACTGTATTTTTGATAAAAAAGTACACTCCATGATAAAAAAATAATCCAACAATGTACTTTTCTTTCTATAATTAGTTAAAATTGATAGATAACATCAAA